GAAGTGAAGGTCAGCATACTTCAGCAACAGATTGACACTCTTTGGTGCATCAGAACATGAGGACTTCCTGGAGAGAACAGAGGGAGAACTGATGTCTCACAGTCAACAAAAAGACAATGCCAAGGAAAATGAAGAAGACTGTTATCATTGAGGATTTCAGCAAAGCATTTGATAATATTTGGATCAGCAAACTGATTAAATATGGAATAGAAAGAAACACTGTCAGATGTATCCACATTTGGTTGGGAAATGGTGCTCAAAGAGTCATCATCAATGGCTGCACTTCAAACTGGAAGAAGGTCTTCAGTGTCCTAGGGTCATTATTCTTCCTTGTTTTTATCAATGACAGGTGATGAGGTGGAGGGAATCCTTATCAAGTTTGCAGATGACCCAAAACTGAGATGATGCATTGGAAGACAAGAACAGAACCAAAGGACCTTGATAAACTAGTAAATTGGACAGAAGTTAATAAAATGACATTCAATAGAGACAAATGCAAAACCAACATTTAGACCAAAAAAAAATAAATGTACAGATATAGGATGGGGGGATACATGGCTCAATAGTACTACATGCAAAAAGGAACTTGGGATTATTATTGATTATAAATTGAATATGAGACAGCAGTGTGATGCAAATAGCAAATACTATTTTAGCTTGCATTAATAAGAGCATAATTTCCAAATCAAGGGAAGTAATAGTCCCACTATATTCTCCACTGAAGTGTTCAATTGGGGGTGTTTCATTTCAAGAATGATACAGATAAGTTGGAGCAAGTCCAAAGAAGGACAACGAGGATGAGAAGAGGTATGGAGAACAAAATGTATGAGGAAAAGTTGAAGGGGCTGGGCATGCTCAGCTTGGTGAAGAAAAGACAGGGGTGACATGAGTACACTCTTTAACTACTACAAGGGCTGTAACAAAGAGGAGGGGGTAAGTTTGTTCTCTACTGCTCCAAAGGGTAGAGCCAGGTCTAATGGTTTTAACTTACAGGAGGGTGGATTCTGACTGAATATTAAAGGAACTTCTTGAGAATACAAGCTGTTTGGCAATGTGAGCAATTGCCTAGAGAGGTGGTGGGGTCTCCTTCTCTAGACAGCTAGAGATTTAGCTGGAGATCCTGCTGGAGATCCTGCACTGAGCAGAGGGTTGGACATGGGGGGCCATGAGGCCATTTCCATATCTATGAATCTATGATTCTACTTTTCATGTGAAGAAGTCCTGTGAAAATACAGTGGGCTTAAGTCTTCCTTAAATTCAGTACCATGTTATGTCAAGTTTATCCACCTGTGAGAAAATCTGGAACACTGGAGCAGACCTAAAGAAGATCAAATACAGTGCCAGCCATGTTATTCATGAACTGTTGACCTCTTAGGTAGTATTAGCTCTAATCTACTAAGACAAAAATATTTCATGGGGTGGGAAGGGTAATCCTGTTCTTTAAGATATCCCTGTGGGTCAATCTGGAAAGCTAGACAGGATGCAACAAGAACCAGTGTGCCATGAAATGGCATAAAACTGTAAGAACTGCTTTGTTGGATCAGACTAAAGGTCCATCAGAATAAGCACCCAGTCACAAAGGAAACCAGCCAAGTTTTACCAGGAAGCACACAAGCAGAAAATAAGAGATGTTGCCATCCTGTTTCTCCTTGGCATTTGGAAATCAGAGGTACAATGTCTTTGAACTTAAGAGGTATGACTTGAATAGCCACATGCTTCAAGGTTCTCATTCTCATCCTTCCTAAAGAGTACCTCTACTGGTGACCATCACCATATCATTATGACAATATATTCATACAACATTAATAACACATTCTGCAGTAAAGTGCTTCTTTGTGTTTGTCCTCATCAGCCTGCCAAACAATTTAATTTATTGACACTAGTTTTGGCATGTGGTTGTGTGTATGTGAAGGATTATGAATTAATTTTGTCCTTCTCTCTCTCTCTTTCTCTCCAACAGTATTATTCTTAATCAGTCTCATGCTTATCTCCCAAAGTTATCTTTTATTTATTTTTTATTTAAATGGAAAATTGCCAGCTCCATTGTCCTGATCATTTTAATTGCTTCTTCTCATAATATCTCCTGCTATACAATATCCTAAGGGACAAGAATAGCTCAGAACATGTAAAGAATGGCACACTACTGATATATACTGAAATATTATGATACTTGCTATTTTATTTTCAGTTCATCTTTGTTTTTCATTTTAATTATACCAATGGCAAGATCATCCCCTGCATTTTAAATCCTGCAAACATCTGAAAGTTCCCTAGTTAAGATTAGAACTACAAACATGGGGCATTAATGTTGTCTCCAAAGGAAGTTATCTCTTCCAAAAGTGAAATAAATTTAAGAGGCTTTTACTGGGTCCAAACATTTCACTAATTGCAGCAGCTAAATACAGAAACCATCTTAAATTTCAAGTGTTTGACCATTATTAGGTGATATTTGATATAAGGCTGTGGCCTCTCCTGGACAGAGACAGCTTCACCTCAGTTATCTATGCTCCTGAGACCAACCAGGCTAGATTGTGAAAATTTGTTTTATTTGGAATAGCCTTTGGGGTTGCCTTTAACTCCATCTGATCCAGAATATACAGCAATCCAGTTATCAATTGGAGAGTTATCAACACATTTCTGCAGGGTTAAAGTTTTTCATTGCATCTTGTTTGTTTCCAGGTACATTTCAAAGAACTGGTTTTGAACTATAAAGTTCAGTTGGCTTTGGAACATGGTATCTGAATGATTTTTTTTACTTTCACAAGCCTGCTCATTCCCTTTCTTCTGTAGTTGGAGATGATCCTACTCTTTAAGGGTGGGCAAGTAGTGACTGGGGGCCAAGCCATCTCTATGATGTAGCTCTGCTTGTAGAATCCATGGAGAATCTCATCTAGCGTATCAAGTTCATTCTGTTCTGACTATTTACTCGAACTTCTGATGACATACACTATCTAGATTGTGACCAATTTGTGGGACATAAACTAATACCAATGAAATTGTTGTAAACTATTCTGAACTCATGAATAGTGGGAGTTGTAAATATAACTTCTCAGCCTTAGAAGGCAGCAGTGGCCAACCTCCTCTGTATAAATCTTGCCAAGAAAACCCCATGATAGATCGGCATAAGTTGGAAACTGTTTGAAGGTACACCACAACAATAACAAAAATAAACATAATTAATGAATAAATGATCTATTCTATTGCACTTAGGTCTAATCTGAAGAAATAATGCAGTTTGATTCTGCTTTACATGCCATGGCTCAATGCTATGGAATTCTGGGATTTGTAGTTTGTTCTGGCCTGAGAGAACTGTGACAAACCAGGCGGAATACCTCACCTTACATTAGTTCTGCAGAACAGATTAGACCTTTGTGTGTTCTTATTTAATGCTGTATATGACTTTGCTAGATAAGGTGCTGCTGCTATAACAATTTTTTGAAATAGAATGGTAGATATGCTTCGGTTAATCCAGATGTAGGCACCTATAAATAGACAGGGGGAAGCAGACTTTCCCATCCCCTCACACCATTTGAAAACAAGCAAACAAACAAACAAGTGTCCAAAAAGCAGATTAAAGACATGCTCTCCCCATTAATTCCAATTTTCCAGGCTTCTGAGCAAAAGGTGCAAAATTATGCCATCAATGTAAGAGGACTGAAGTGGATGGCCTGATGAAGGAAGGAAGTTCACTCAGAAGGGCATCCCAGGATATATCACACACAAATAACATTTATAAAGTGAGAGGTGAGGACCTTTATGAGAACTAGTGTTATGAAAATAAAAACATTTACTGTTGTTCACAGTGCCTCTCTAACATTATAAAGATGGCTTTCAAGAAAAAACACAGCATCCTTAAGGTTACCTGTAAAAAATTACAAACATCTGTCCTGGTTAAAAATAAAAACAGTTTACAATTAGTTATCTTTATATTAAATAAAATTGAGAATTTGAAGAAACAACCAATATAATAATGTACAGCATAAATTAAAGTCTCTGCAGTTCACACCAATATGAATACTGCTTAATGGTACTTCAACAAGATCTCTAGAAATATGTGTCTTTTTTCCACCATAACTTTTCTCAGTTCCTCCTTAGATACAAGTGATCTGTTGTAAAATTTCTGACATTATTTTTAAAAATAAATTATTTATTTACTATTGGATATTTCTATTGTCATATAATACCACATCAGTATCAACTTTATAATGTTCTCTGCAAGAATTCTGAAGATTACCTCACTTTTCCTTTGGTATTTCTGAGAACAGTTGCAGCAAAATTCTGTGTGACACCGACCAGACTGATCCCATCAACTTCTACAATTTGGTCATTTACTTGGATCCTTTTAGGAAAAATAAGAATGAACCAATAATGTTAAGTAGTATTCAAGTAAAACATACAAAGCCAATAGTCACTTTTTCACAAAATAAGGGAATTAAGAAACAATAAATAACTAGTTCAACCATGTACATATCACATCCTACAACCTGTTTAAGTGGCATGAAGTGAACATGGGCACATAGCCCAAAAACTCCACCAAAAACTAGGTATGAAATGTGTCTGCATGAAGATTTCTTTTATGCAGCAAACGGAATGAGGTTCTCAGAAATTTTTGCATCAGATTTCAAACAGCCCCTGAAGGATATAAAAATAGGTATGGGCTGAAATGTTCTGAGCTTTTTCTATAATAATCTATTGAGAACTTTGAGACATGTCTCTGTTTTTTTCTGTGGATTGTATGTAAAATACACAATCTTCCCTGAACATCAGAATTCAGAGCAAATATGTCTCATGGAGACAGAATCATATGTGCAGCAAATATAATATATGCAGTACGAATTACATTTTGTACAAAATAACACAGCCTACTGCATCATCTTACATTTGCTGTTGTCTACTTTCAGGTTCATTCCAATTTATGGCAAGACTAAGACAAATCTATCAATAGATTTTTCTAGGACTGAGAGTATGTCACTCCCCCAAGGTCACACAGTGGGTTTCCATGGCCAAGCAGGGAATCGAACCCTGATCTCCAGAGCTGTAGTCCAAAACTCAAACCATAGCACTACGCTGACTCTCTTCATTACATCTTAGGCTGCATCTGCACTGCAGAAATAATCCAGGTTAACACCACTTTAGCTGCCATGGCTGTGCTATGGAATTCTGGGAACTGTAGTTTTGTGAGCATTTAGCTACCTCTGTCAGAGAACTCTGGTGACACAATAAACTACAGTTCCAAGAATTCCACAGCATTGAGCTATGGTGGTTAAAGTGGTACCTGGATTATTTTTGATGTGCAGATGCAGATCAACATTATTGCTTGTATTTTGTGAAATAATCTCTCAGGCCTTCCAAAAGCCCTCTGACAAGTATGAAAGTTCCCCAAAGAACTACTGCTCTGGTAGTGCCTAAGGTTACACTTAAAACAAATAAGATCGTTAACACACTACACTGTCACAGTGTTATAGTCCTCTTTAACTGCCTTGACAACATCCTGTGGAATTCTGGGTTTGTAGCTCAATGAGACCCAAGAGCTCTCGCGCTGGAAATTATAAATATTCCTCCCTAAACTTCAGATTCCAAGATCCTATAGAATGTTGCAATAGCAGTTGAAGAGGGATATAGCAATATAATAATGTAGTGTGATAAGGAGCTCAGGCCATGCCTGCACAGGCCAAATATCACATCCTTCCCTCATCCACACAGTGTTACTATCCTTGCATCATCCCCAATTGGCCTCTTGATATCAACCTCCATATTAAGAGGCTTGTCTAGTGATGTAGCCCCAGAAGAGTGTCCCAGTGCAAGGGAACAGTCTGTCCATACAGAAATCTGGGAGACTTAGCCGGGAAGCACTAAAGTCACCACAATTCAAAAAGGATGTTGACAAGCTGGAGTATGTCCAGAGATGGCAACCAAAATGGTTAAGAGTCTGGAAACCATGCTCTATGAGGAGAGACTTAGGGAGCTGGTTATGTTTAGTCTGTAGAAGAGAAGGTTAAGAGGTGATATGACAGCACTGTTTAAATATTTGAAGGGATGCCATATTGAAGATGGATCAAGCTTGTTTGCTGAAGCTTCAGAGAATAGGACCCAGAGCAATGGATTCAAACTAGAGAAAAAAGAGATTCCACCTCAATATTAGGAAGAACATCCTGACAGTAAGAGCTGTTCAACAGTGGAATATGCTGCCATGAAGAGTGGTGGAATCTCCTTCTTTGGAGGTTTTCAAACAGAGGCTGGATGGCTATCTGTCAGGAGTATTTTTATTGTGTATTCTTGCATGTCAGGGAGTTGGACACGATGGCCCTTGAGGTGTCTTCCAACTCTATGATTCTATGATTCCATTCTACATAGACAGAAAGGCACATCCTTTGAAACTGAAATAAATTCTTTTATTATTGGGAGTTTGTTGATGGGAAAGATGCACCTGGCATTTGTTAGAAAGTTCAAAATCAAAGGGCATTGCCACCTGGAACTGTCATCTCTTTGTTTAGGATGCTTACATTTATTGTCTGGCTATTTCCATCCCTCTGACCATTCTTCATCCTGAATAGATCAGTCAAAAATACCTGAGTAACTGCCTTAGGTCACCTTTTACACTATATAAACAGTTTTTTGGACCATTCTAGTCAGTATGAGTTGAAACCAGGCAAGCACTCTGTCGGATTTCACCTAGACTCCTCAGTATTACTAGCCACCCCACTTCCAGGTAGAGATCTGGGCCCAATACACTCCACAACCTTCCCCTCATTGAAGAACCTGGCCCCTGAATCTGGTACGTATTGCATGCCAGCTGCCCCAACCCCACACCAAGGACATCCTGACGCCGTGTGCCGTTACATACAGCACACGGCGTCAATATGTCCTTCCGGCGCTAAATTTTGACATGCTGCGCCGGAAGGGGCGTTAAAGAGCTGTGTGCCAGCTCTTAGGGTGGCCTTTTGCCAGCCATAAAAGGAGCGGCATTTTGCTACTCTTTTCCGGGAGGCAAAAGGGAGGATTGGGGCCATGCAGTCCAGCAGCCTCAGCCCTGATCTGCCGCTTCCTGGGGCGGCTCTCCGCCATCCCTTTGGGCCCATCTGCAGAGGCCTTTATTGTTCTGCTTCCTTCAGAGCCTTCTGGAGAAAAGGCAGGCAGCTGTTTACAATGCATCCCACTATACTGCCTTCTGCTGGGCAAATCTCTCCCTCTGAGGTCAGAACAAGGCACCCAGCCATGTGATTGATACTGTGCACCTTGTTTTCAGCCTCAGAGGGAGTGACCCACAGTGCTGGACAGCACAGTAGGTCGTGCATAAAAGCAGCTGCTCATCATCACTACAAAATGCCAAGTAACAGGGTGGATGTGGGGAAGCTTTGGGCCCAGAATATTCCAGGACGTTTCTGGAGTATTCTGGCCAGTGCAGACAACACCTAAACGAGTGAAAATACTTCATGTGCCATGAGGGGTTTTTTTTGGG